GTTTAGTAAGAAACAGGTTAGTGTTGCACTTTCCACCACCGAAGCGGAATATGTCGCTGCGGGAAGCTGTTGTGCCCAAATTCTTTGGCTAAAACAACAACTAGTGGATTTCGGCCTTATACTTGATCACATCCCAATTAGGTGTGACAATATGAGCGCCATTAGTCTATCGAAGAACCCCGTTCTTCACTCCAGGACTAAACACATAGAAATTAGGCATCACTTCATACGAGATCACGTCCAAAAGGGAGATGTCACAATTGAGTTTGTTGAAACGAAACATCAATTGGCCGACATTTTCACGAAACCCCTTAGTAGGGAGAGTTTCTTCCACATTCGGAACGAACTTAGCATTTTGGATATCTCTATGAACTAATTCATTTTTTTTACTATACTAATTTGAGCGTCGGAGGCGCGATAAATTCTTTTTGCAGGGCTTTTATTGTAGCTATCTCTTCCCTTGGTATTCAACCTAATTGGACTTGATTTTTTTTTTTACAAAATCGATTATTCCTCAAAGAGAAATCGATTAGCCGCCTCTGTCTTTCTTAATCGATTACTTGTTTCTTTTTAATCGATTAATATGCAAAAACGTCTTTAGCGCTGATTCACCTTTTAATCGATTAATTTTGTTCAATTAATCGATTAGACTCATCTGTCCATATTAATCGATTAACCTTCTCTGTTTAATCGATTAATATCTTGAAAAGAGACGTCTGGTTCTGCTTACTTCTAATCGATTAATAAACTTAACTTAATCGATTAGCCTCGGCTGTGTTTCCTAATCGATTAAATACTTGTTATTAATCGATTAATAGTCGATTTTTGCCTTATATCACACCCAGTTTTCATCTTCTTCATTCCCTCTTTTCGAATCACAGAAACCCTAGCCTCTTCCCCTCTCAATCTTTTTCTCAATCTTCATCATAAAATTCTCAAATTTCTTCCATTTTTTTGTCAAATTTCATCAATTTCAAAAAGGAAGAATGCCAAGGTGTAAGAACGCTTCCTCGGGTCAAGAAACGGCGGCAGAGGAGAATGAGAGGCCATAGCGTCGTGAAGGGAGAAAATACATTCACATTCAAACGGGTCTTGCCTTCAACACTGGGGCTTCAGTTGAGAGGTTCCACAACATCTTCCTCACGAAGGAGATCGTCTCTCCCAAGATCGTGAACAAGGACCTCTTCAAATCGGCGACCTATGCCCCGAGTAAGTCTATGTTCCTTCAGCAAGGATTGCTTCGTTTCATTCATTTGACGTATGAATTTTTCTGTCCAAATATTATACGTCAATTTTATGCAAATCTTCGTACCACTAAGGGAGGTTCGCCATCTCTCATTTCCTATGTTGACGGCAAAACCGTTTTCATTGACGGTGCCGGTTTGACTTCTTTGTTTGGCCTTTGTCATGGTGAAATTACCGAAAACTTGGATGAAACATTCCAAGATGAGGCAATATGGCGACAACTCGGGTTAGATCATCGTGACCTCAAGTTTAGAAACTCTAGCAACCCGAGTGTCGTAAATCTCACTTTAATTCAACGCGTCCAACAATACATTTTCTCATATGTTTTGTTGTCCCGTGATTCGAACCATGGCGTCGTCAACAAGGACGATATTCGTTTGTTTCACGTCCTGTTGAACGATGTCAAATTTGATTGGGCTCACTTCTTTATCGTTGCACTTAGCGATGGCACTCGCTTTTCCCATCTCCGTTTTGCCATCCCCATTATGCATATCCTTGCTCATTGCAAAGTAGACCTTACTCGGGACACTCAGGTGCCGGTTAAGAAGACGGGTTTCATCACTGAAGCCAAGTTTTCCCGGATCGTGTATCGAGAGGAGGGCGATGCTGCACCAAATCTGGACTTGATCGTCGCCGAAGAAGAAGAAGAAAGCCAAAACGAGAATCAAGCTGAGTCATCTCAAGCCGGAGGTAGTCGAGCCACGGAGCGCGTCACTCGTCAACGGAGGACTCGTCCGAGAGAAGAAGCACCGGAACCATCTTGGGTGAAGAAGATCTTCGATACTCTCACGTGCATCCGAGATGACGTTCGCCAGCTCAACGAGAGGATGACTCGTCTTGAGCAATCTCGCTCCTACCGTGGCCCGCGTCACAGCTTCAGCGGAGGAGCTCGTCCGGCGAACTCTCTTTGATTATTTTCTCTTC